ATTTAAGTGCCGCCAGTCTTTATCTGTTTATGCATTAACCCGCATATTAAATGTTCTGGCTCAACTTATGCATGGTTGACTAGACCATTCTTGTTTTTATTTCAGGATGTCAGATTCAGTTTTAGCAGTTAGTGTATCTTTTTTCCATAGGATTAAGGAAGTTTTGAATGCGCAGTTCCGTGTTGTCAGTCCCTTTGCCAGTCTGGAAGATCAGCCTTACGCACGCACGCCCTTTCCCAGCACGTAGTTTTATCAATATGCTAAATTTTAAGCAAACCGCAGACTTCCGTCGCGTGGATCGATTCTTCTCACGTTTGTACTTCAGCCGACCTGCATGTGCCCTTTTCTTTCCACCGTATTGGTAAGACTTAGTCCTGGTCGTAGTCTTTCTAGATAAATTCAGCCATTCAACCCTCCAAAGCAGTGTTAATGTCGAATTTATGACCTTCGCCGGATTCCCTGATTTTCACTTATTTATCTAAAAGTTAGATTTTAAGATTAACTCGCCTCGTCAGTTCCATTGGCATGTAATTTCTGAACTATTGTCAATTTTTCTTTTCAGTTCCAAGGTCTGGATTCGCCCTTCTGTCGCATTATCACGTTCATCTAAATTACTAGGCTTAACAGGACCAATGTCTGGCGTAAATTTGGCAAAATGCATATCAATCCCTAACTCAAATGACCCCGGTACCACAAAGAGCTTTGGTAACGCACGTTTGCCCAATGGGCGGACACCGGACGATTCTCGTTCCCTCCTGGAACATGTCTGTAACTTCGATATCGATCGTGAGCCCTCTTCAATGCGTAACACTGGAATCATCTGCACTCTTGGTATGCTTGCTTCAGTTTCATATTCTATCTTAAATCCAAATGGATTTTCATCCACCTTATTTTGACTACTCCTCACCTTAAAACCTCACTGATGACAGCCGCTGCCTCAGGTCATGCTGATTACCCTCGTGGTGTCGTACGTGTACAGAGTTCTGGGGAATAAACCTCGATGCCGTGTATAGCCGCCTCTTAAACTCGAACGTGTGGAGATCTAATTTGCTATTGAGTGGCCTAATCTGTGAGCTGTTTTCTCGCTTTCAACTGGAGTTGGTCGATATTATCCTCTCTCGGAGACTACCACATATAGGAAGACGTACGGGTCCAAGACAGCGAACCGTTGTAGGTTGCTGTGGAAGATTTCTCTGCTTCCTTGCTTACTTACAGATAAAATGAGAACACTTGAATGACTTGGCAAAGTTCTTAACACTGCAGAATGGTATATTAGCTTGACAGTTCTTCGGAAATACACGCATCCATTTATCAGCTATTCCTGCGACTTCAATGTTTTTTGTTCTAACAGCCCTGTAGTAGTTAATTCCTCATTTAGGTTTCTTTTCGTTAAAAATCCAAGCCCTCATGGTCATGACGCCGTTGATTTTACTGGCGTCA